TTGCTGCCTTGACAAGTCAAGAATTTTCTGTTCTGGTGATTTCTAGGAGGATGTTTTTGTCTCTGTCTAAATGTGAGACCAGATTAAAAAACACTCATTGCATATGCCTACATACTCATTAGTACATCTTATTCATTTTAAGTCAGGATAGACAAAAATAATAAATCAAGAACATAGGCCTATGACTTTTACAGGACTAGAGAAAGAAAGCAAACCATTCTCTTTATTATAAGCTTCTGAGAATGAAGAAATGACTGTAAAAAGCAAGATATAATTATGTTGTATCTTATAATTGTTTTATAATTATTTATAAACATTTATTGGATGACAAGTATTACACTAAGACTGGAGAAGAGGATTTAGATATGAATAAGGAAGTTTTCACTGTTGTTTAACTTCCAGTCTAGTGGAGAGAACACAGGACTCAAAGTGGGTGGTCACAGCTATATTAAGGTGGAATCAGAGATCAAAAATCTTCCTGCCTCTGAAGTTGGAAAGCATGTAGTGAAGTTTCACACATGAAAGTTCACCAAACAGTTAAACACCCTTCTCTGCTGGAATGCTGACAATATTTTGTATTGATAAATTCAGTTCTTTTTCACTCCTTGCTTGAGGGGTACATGTCTCTTAGCTAAGCCATATCATCCTCAGAAAAGGTTGAAAAGTTCTGACGATGCTGCATAGCCAGGAATTCAGCAGAAAAGCTTACAGCAATGGGTCTGGTACTGTATGAGGCAGATGTTACAGGATGCGCCTCACAGCATGGGTCGGAGTCAACTGTCAAGTTCACTGGCTCTCACAAGGAGACACATGCCTCAGCTGGCCATGGCTGAACTTTGCCCATCTACATGTGCACAGGAGGATTCCGGGGTTAGAGAAAAAAACACGACATTCTTTTTTAAAAATACTTTCAAGGCTGGGAAGATAGCTCAGCAGCATAAGCCCCTGCCTGGCAAGCTTAATCCCCAGTACAGCAAAAAAATAAATAAATAAATAAATAAATAAATAAATAAATATGAAAAAAATCAAACTTTTCATTGTTGATTTTTTAAATTAGCATATTTACTAATGTGATGAGAAAGTTCAAATAGATGTACAAAAAACACACAGTTCCTAGAAAACATTCCTATACAAATACACATTAACTTTTCAAGTAATTAAGCTTCAAAATAACTATGTGAATGAAAATTCTGGATACAATGTAGCTAACATCTTCTGCCACCATTCAAATCAAATATGGAAGTAATAAGGAAATTAGAAATTGGTCTAGATAACGGATTCCTTTACTATTCAATGCATAAGCCCCACCAGGGGTACAAAAGGTTCTCCACTGAACACCTTCCCACTCAAACCCCGTGATGCACTGCCATGTAAACAAAGAAATCCTGCCATCTACACAATGTTCAAATGTGGAAAAGCACAAACTGAGAAAAGTATTAAATAATGCCTAACAAATCTGAAGACTAAAAAATATTATCTGGTGTTAAAAGTGCATTTTTTCCTTCATGATTATCAGTGTCTATTTTTTTATTTAGTATGAAGAAACTTATTAGCTAAAGTGGGTAAATATCTTGGAGCCCTCAGTATAACAGTACAATGCAAATATAATCATATTCATTAACATGTTTGTACAATAAAGTATGTACTGCTGATCTTTAGAGAACCATTTATTTGACAAATTACGTTCTTGGATGGGTTGATTAATCATGTGTCTTGGATGTGACCTTTTTATATAGTTTTAATTACAATAGAAACTAGATCATAAAATTTAACTCACACTGCACTCACATTTGTAAAGAAAAATATAATTCACTAATTTTAAGTTAATTTGATTTCTGGTGGGAGGAAATAAAACTGTCTAATCCATTTAAATTTTCAAGTACAATAATAGAGTCAGTCCTTTCATGTATTGATCAAGTCTTCTGTTCGATTCTCTTCCCCTTGTAAGAGTGCATGCAGGTACAGGATCCAATAGGAGAGGCTTATAGAATTTAGGGTCTCAGAGGGAACGGTCAGTCTTAGAATTCATGCAGTGTCTCGTATTCTTTCATAGACAGTCATATCCTTTGTCTATCTCATTGCGAGAGACCTCTTGAGTCCAAATCACAAGGCGAATTAATTAGAGACACCACTTTTCATTCTCTTACTCTTCTCAGCAATTTTTGGGCTAGAACACATATGACTTTTTCTTTTAGTTTCTGTTCTTCCACTACCAAGCAGTGAACTCTGAATTCTAGCTTGTATGTCTATGACGAAGAGGTGCTAATTTTTCTGTAGAAATTCCATGCACATCAAGAGCTGGAAATTCCAGCCTTGGGGTTTCATAGGCTAAAGAAGGCAAGGAAATTGATCACAGAATTTGATGGAGGGAAAAATCTTAGCACAACAAGCAGACCTACGAGATAGTCAGGACCTCGCTAAGTAATTCTGCTTCAAAAATTGAATGTTAATACAGTATTTTTCTTTTTATTTCTCCTGTTAGAAATGATATTCTCTTTATAGGTAGATCTGTCTCAGTCCAGAAAAGTGAAAGTCACTTGAAAAAAGTGAGAACATTCATTCATATATTTTACAATTAACTTTCGATGTAACACAAGTCTTTATGTTTTGCTGTTGTCAATTTGGTGTAATTTTGAGGTGTATTTCTTAGACAATGTCATGAAATAAATATTTGATTCAAGTTATAATGGTAAACATGTATGTTTTCAAGTCTGTGTATAATCCTTGTCTTTGCAAAGTATTCTTTATCATGCAATTCAAATTCATGGTCACATGATCTTTTCAGACTTCTTTTGACTTTTTCATACAGCTGTGTCCTGAAGTCAGTATTGTTCTTGGTTTTCGTGCTATCCTTATTTTGGACCATATTATAGAATCAGGAATCATTCTCTACTACTCTGCTATACTCCTGTCTATTATTCCATTTTTAATAGTCACATGAATATTATGATTTTTTTTTGTGTGTGTGTCTTTCTCTACACCTAAGGTTCTAGTTTGGGATTTCCAAAAATAGTTCTGTTGTTTTCCATATGCTAGCAAAATTTTGTCTGTCTATATCCTTCAATCTATGGATATAACAATATCACATTTATTTCTGTTCCAATGTTATAGTTCAAATATAGAATGTCCTGCAGAGTCTCAGGTTCACAGGTAGAGTTCTCAAAAGATGATTGGATGTTGAGGACACAACATCCAATGTTGAGCTCTACTTCACCAGTGAGCTCATAGCTGGATGTGCTTTGGGGAGGTGGATGCTGGTCAGTGGAGGTGGCCCACTGGGGGAATAACCTGAGAAGTGTATTCTTGTCACTGGATGTCCTCTTTACCTCTCTATCTTTGCTTGGATGGTAGGTAAGATAGCATACATCACTAGACTGTCTTGTTTTGGTTGACATTTTCTGCACAGGACAAGCTAGGAAATTCTCTATGGATACTGAAAAATTACTTCCCTGACACTTCGGGTTTTTTCCTGTATTTTTAGGGAAGGCTCCACAGGTGTTCATGGTCTCACTACTAGAAAGGACTAGTAGTGATTCTCCTGTTTACAGCCTTTCAAGTGCTGGGATTACTGGTACACACCCTATGCCCCATCACAATTCTTGTCTCAGCATGTCCCAGGGGCAGAGCTGGCATGGCAGGCCTGGGGAATCAAACCCCTGCCCCTGTACCTGCTTTCAGGTGCTTTAATTTGCTTAGCCATTTGGCCGGCCCTTTGCTGTCACTTTGGAATACTAAGGATGATACTGCATTGACTAAACTTAATTGTTAGTTTGAGTGGCTTGGCAGCCTTGAATAGGGAATTAGTAAATGATACTCCTGGATTTACTTGGATGGGTCAGGAAGATGCAATCCTGACTATTATGCAGTGTATGGCCCCCATCCCTTTTTTCTGATGCTATTGCTCCTCTGCTCACCTGTGCACAAGAACTAAACGGCCTTGCTCTACCACCAGGCTCTTCCACCATGGTGTTCCTGCCTTGGAACAAAGCTACCAGGTATTAAATCTTCTGAAACAATGAACCAAGTAAGTCTTTCCTTTTTTTCCCTCAAGTTCAGAATTTCCTTTATTTTGTTGAGAAATAAATATGAATGAGACAGTTTCAAAGCTGATTAATAGGACAGTTTCAATAATTAATACATTGTACATTATTATCTTCTTAGTGGTTATCCATAGTACAAGAAGGAGGCAGCATATCCTCTCCAAACACTATTAGTACACATTTTTCTTCTCCTTGAATTAAGTAGCTGTATATCTATCCTAACTATTTTGTATATACAAATACAAAATGGTTCTTCCTTTGTATCCCCTTTTTTGTTTAGTTCTGTCAGAGGTGGGTATTCTATTAGTATCTAAATACTATAGGTGCTTGAAT